GGCGCCAGCCGCCCCAGCCAGTGGGTTTTTGCACTAAATGAATAGTTCTCAGTGGGACTGGATGGCTCAGCAGGGGAATGTGAAATGCAATTAAGCTTTTTTTTTTATGCTTTTTTTTTTTCTTTCTTTCTTCTCTGCTTTTTAACTAAATTATCTGCAAATTAATTCAGTGCTCGTAGAGGAAAAGGGGCTGTTTGTGGTGCTGGCAGCACGGGGGGCTTCCCCAAGCCACCCAGCCGTGGGTTTCCTAGGGGTTTGTGTTGAACCTCAGTGTCCGTGACCACATCCAGGGCTTTTGTCCTGGTGCATTTCCAGACAACATTGCCCTGTTTGGGCAGGATTTGACCGCTGTGGTGAAGGTGAGGACTGCTCTTCCTGGAGAGGACTTTGCCAAGCCAGGAGCTGGCATTGCTCACCTTCAAACCTCATCAAGCCCCAACCACTTAAGGGCTCTGCTAATTGCTTGTGCACAAGAAAATGCACTTCTAGAGGTGCTGCGCTCTGGGCTGAGCATGTAGCCCCATTGCAGGTCGCTCTGCCATGGGGACTGGAGTTGTTCCCACTCTACAGGGACTGTGAACAGCCCAGAAAAGCTGTAGAAGAAGCATGGTCGTGGCTAGTCCCATGACATTTCTGTTTCTTTGCAAACAAAGTGTGTTAGGTCAAGGTTTTCTGCCAAAAGCTAAAATTGACAGGGAGCTTCAACGTCGTGTGTCCTGGGGAAACAGGAAACCACAGCAACGTGTGTGGGCATCATCTCACAAAGGTCCTTTTCAGATTTCTGTTATTGAACATGCAACCACAGCTGCTCTGGGCAACCTGGACCAGTGTCTCACCTTTACAGGAAAGAATTTCCTCCTAATGTCTGATGTAAATCACCCCTCTTCCAGGTTTAAGCCATTTACCCCTTGTCCTCTCAACATGCCTTTGTAAAAAGTCCTTCTCCAGCTTTCCTGTAGGCTCTCCTCAGGTACTGGAATGCTGTTATGAGGTCTCCCTTGAGCCTTCTTTTCTCCAGACTGAACAATCATCCCTGGAGCTGTGCAGATGTGGTGCTGAGGGATATGGTTTAGTGGTACTCAGTGGAGTTGGTTTAATGGTTGGGATTGATGATCTTAAAGGTCTTTTCCACCAAAACAATTCTTTGATTCTGTGATCCAGCTGTATGCTGCATGAGGCAAGGCCCTGGGCTGGCAAAATGACCCCTACCTCTTATTTAAGCAGTTTTTGGTGTTTGGTTGGTGTGAGCTGCACCCTCAGGCTCCATCAGAGCTTCCCCACCTCCATGGTCCGACCCAGACACCCCCCCATCTGATGCCCGGTGAACCTCTCACACTGGGAGCTGCTTTTCAGTGCATTTCCTGCTATTGAAGATTTTTCCTCCCCCCAGCTTCCCCCCCTCCCTCCCCTCCATGTGTTGTATAATGAAACCAGGCACCCATTAAGGAGCTTAACTCCCCTTCTCCTCCTCCGCTCCCATCGCATCGGAGCTGCCAGGTACCTCATACAAAACCTCCCCACACCCAGCTCTGTCCTTAATGGGTGGTTTCCCCTGCATGCAAGAAAAAATGAGCTGGTAGGGTCTTAATGCCTCAGTCTAATCACTGCTGTGAAATATTAATTAATGTGGCTGCTCTGGAGGCTTTGCACCCTGCGGTGTGGGAGCGGCAGGCTTGGCTGGGCACTGATGTGTGAATAATGATTTAAAGAGATAAATAATGTCATGGTTTAGCACTGGACTGGGCAGAGTGGGGTTAATGGTTGGACTCGATGATCTGAAAGATCTTTTCCAAGCAGAACGATTCTGTGATAATTGAGAGCTGAATCCATCACTGGTGTCAGCTGCCAGCCTGGCTGATGTATGTCCCACAGCTCCCCAGGGAGCTGTTGAAGCTGGGTGTGATGCCTGTGTGCCTCCAGCCATCAGCACTTGGAAGTGGGGGAGATGGGAAGGGAGCATGTTTGGGCTAATCCAGGTGGGAGTCAGATGTTCTGGCACCACATCTCTGGAGCAGCTCCCGTTCAGAGGGTCTCTGCACAGGGTGGGGGGACCCAAACACAGAGACACACTGTGGAGAGTCACTTTGTCCCCCCTGGCCACAGTGTCTGCCCCAGTGAGCCTCAGTGGAAGCAAAGTGAGAGTATTGTGTGGAGAAGTGCCAGAGGGAAGCTGTGAATTTAATTGCTGAGCTAAAAGGCTTTGTGCCGATGGCTCTGAGCTGCCCAGGAGAGCATTTCCCTCTCCGGCATCTCCTGTCCATCCTGCTCAGCCACAGGAGAAACATGTCCTGGCAGTGGCAGTCTGGGCTGCCAGTCCCCAGCTCTTCTTTTGCTGTTGGTGCCTCAACGTTGGATGGAGAATGGATGGAGAGCAGCCCTGAGGAGAAGAGCTTGGGGATTGTCCCCCTCTGCTCTGCTCTGCTCTGCTCTGGTGAGACCCCCTGCAGTGCTGGGTCCAGTGCTGGGGTCCCCAGCACAAGAAGGACATGGAGCTGTTGGAGTGAGTCCAGAGGAGGCCATGGAGATGATCCAAGGGCTGGATCAGCTCTGCTCTGGAGACAGGCTGAGAGAGTTGGGGCTGTTCAGCCTGGAGAAGAGAAGGCTCCGGGGAGACCTTAGAGCACCTTCTGGTGCCTGAAGGGGCTGCAGGAAAACTGGGGAGGGACTTTTGACGAGGACAGGGAGTGATGGGATGAGCAAGAATGGTTTCAAGTGGCAAGAGGGGAGATCGAGATGAAACATTAAGAAGAAATTCTTTGCTGTGAGGGTGGTGAGACACTGGCCCAGGTTGCCCAGGGAAGCTGTGGCTGCCCCATCTCTGGAAATGTCCAGTGCCAGGTTGGATGGGGTTGGAGTAACCAGGTCCGGTGGGAGGTGTCCTTGCTCATGGCAAAGGGGTTTAGGACTGGATGGTCTTTAAGGTCCCTTCCAACCCAAACCAGGCTGGGATTCTGTGATTCTATGAAATATTTTGCTGTCCCTTAGTGCCAGCTCCCTGTGACCAGCACTAGCTTGTGCTGCCCTTCGAGGTTTTCTTCTTCTGCAACATCCTCCAAAGCCTCTTTGCTCATGGATGAGCTTTTCTAACACCCTCTTTGCAGATTCTGTCTCTTACTGAAGGACAGTTTGAGGAGCCGGGAAGGGAACAAGCCACAGCCATGCAGGAACCATTCAGGAGGGTCAGGAGCTATTAATTAACTTCAAGACATTGCTCCCAATTACAGAACTGTGGGGCTGAGCTGTATTCTGCCCCTTCCCCAGCTCTGGCTGCCCTACTGAAGGTTACAGAGGTTTAATACAACCCCCCTGTCTCCCCTGTCTTGTGGCTGCTCTTTTCATCCAATCACAGAATCACAGGATGGTTTGGGTTGGAAGGCACCTTGAAAACCATCTCATTCCAACTGCTCTTTTTTGCACCGGGCTGATTAGAACTGCTTGCTCCATGATCCTTCTCCTGTGGGAAGGGCATCAGGCCATGTTTTTAATCGGTGCCCAGTGTGTTTGGCTCTGTTAAACACGATTAGAGAGAGATTTACTGGCTCCCTTTCCAGCTCTGCCAGCTCGTGGATTGCCGCTGGGTTTCAGGATCTGCTCTGGCTCTGGGAGCAAAGAGTCAAACAGAGGCTGCCCAGTGCAGAGGCTGGTTTCTTAATGTTGGTTTTCCTGCCTTTTAAACTGCTGGCAGAAGCTCAGAGGAGCACCTGAGTGATGCTTTCCCTGGGGAAAGCTCACAGCCCCTCTTGCTTATGGCTCTGGGCTTTACCTTGGAAACAGCTTTTGGGGAGGCAGGAGTCTGCAAGTGATGCTCTGCATCTCCTTCAGTGCCCACTGTCCCTGGTAGCACTGGGTCTGTCCCTTTTTTTTCTGCCAGCTTCACTTATTTCTTCCCAGGTATTTCCCTCCCCACCCATCCTGCCAGCTTCACTGGTTTCTTGTCTTTCCTGATATTAGTTTTCCCCTTCCCATGTGCTGGGGCTTCTCACTCCATCCTTCTGCCCACCCTGAGGTGGATGGAAAACAGGACTTAATGAGTCAGCTTGGGTATTGCTTGGTGACGTTGCTAACACGTAGCAGGGAGATTTCATCCTTTTCTCCAGGTGCCAAAGTGCTGAGGGAGCCAAGGGATGGGTACAAAGGAGACTCTCAGGTTGGCCAAATAAATGAGATTTTGTTAAGCAGATTAGGGAAAGGTCTTGGAGAAGAAAATGCTGGGCTGGTGTCACACCCTGTACCTCTGGGCTGGTGTTTTTGCTTGGGGTTAAGGGACTGACCTTCATGGGATATTAGGTTTAGTGAGGGCTTTTGTGTTATTTAATTAAGATTTATTTGCAATCAGCTGGACTGCCCTTATTAAGTAAATTCCAGGCCCTGATAAGAAGGCCAATAAGGTTTTCCAGCCACACTTAGTTCCAGGATGCCATTAAAATGGGAAAAGGGTATTAATGAGGAAAGGCAGCAGGTCAGAGCTGTGGTGGGTGAGTGTGTGGTCATTTTGGGGGGTGGGCTGGGCCTCTGTCCCCTTCTCAGCTGGCTGATCCCCAAAACCCCAGTTACAGCTGCCACCAGTGCCTAAGTGCCACTGGGGTGCCCAGGCGGGGTCAGGATGGAGGTGACACACGTCGTGCGTGGCTGGGGCTGCTCCCACCTTCCCCCCTCCGTGGGGTCGAGTCGCGTTTCTCCGTGCCTCGATTTACCTTTTCAGAGCATCCGTGTCCTTGGATGCTCTGTGCCTGGTGTTTGTGGCACCCCCGGGTGCTGTTCTGGGCTCGGCTGAGCTCACTGGCTCCTTATGAACACCGATTGAGCGTTCGCCCGCAAACGCGCGGCGATGCTTCCCGTGCTCAGCGGGGAGAGACCTTTGGATGACTCGAGAGACCTTCAGAGAGCATCCCCGTCCTCCTTCCTCCTCCTCCTCCTCCTCCTCCT